ATTCCTGCAACAGCTCCTGCAAACGTAGAAAACATTAAAGATTCTAATTCTGATTGTATCTAATGAGAAAAATTAAATAAATATTTTTTATTATAATATTTCTCGTAAATTATGGATAGTCATTATCTCTATTTTATAAACAAGTGTCAAGGAAGCGTGCGAGAGGAGAGATAATGGTTTATCATTAAGCATTATTTTGTCGATTACCATGAGCGATTTACTAAAGGAAAGTTAAAATTGAGAAAACTAACTATTTGAAATGAAACGCGCGGATATACAATGTAACACATTTCTTACAAGGAAAAATATAGTATGCTAAACAGTAGTATCTAACACAAATCGCATCACATCCGGAAGAGGCAAATAAGAATTAAAGCATAGATTGCTGCAATTGGGAGTGAAGTCACGCGTATTTTCATATACGTGCGCCATTCGACTTCATTTTCAAGTATTGTTGATTTTTTTTTTAATTTTCTTTTCTTTTAATTATTTTTTATTAATTGATTAGCAAACAGTTCATGTCTCTCCTCTCTATTTACATGTCTCAAATCAAATTATTCAAACAAAATAATATATTTTGGTTTTGGATTCTAGTTAAAAGTTCAAAATAAAAAATATATATTTCATACAGATATATTTATTAAATATCGAGTTTTGATAATATATGCTTGAAATTGAGTAGATGCTCTTTTTCGGAAACATTCACAAATTGAGATTTGGAAAAATTGGTATTTAAAATCGACACTAACTGAAACTACTAACTGAAGATCACAAAAACATGATAAAAGTAACGAAAAAGGTGAAAAATATAATATGTAGCAGATTTAGAAATCTACAAATATATAGAATAACGTAATATTATTACACTTTCTATCATTGCTATTTAGATTAATTTATCAAAGTCAGAGAAAAAAAGAAAATTTTTGACCTTCGAGATCTCTCGGTTCTCGCTGATTTAGCATATAAATAAATTTACAAACTGTAAATTTAATAACAAACAAGTGGATTAAGAGAGTGAGTCAGCTCTGATAAAGCAGTAGTTACAGAGAAATAATAGTGTATATGTTGGTTTAGATGATTTACATAAGTTTTATCACTTTGACTTAACTAGGTTTTAATACTTTTTTTCTACTATGTGTAACCTTCTATTCTTAATAAATATGTAATAATAATAACAAATAATATAAATAATAAAATGAATCAATTTTTTCTTTCTTTAGATCTCGACATTTTATGAAAACACTGGATCATTTAGAAAATTTATATTTATGTATATCTATCAATTATTTGAATTATTGATGTCAACCAAAACAATATGAACAATCATAGGATCATTCATGCGTCTGTATTATAAAATAAATTTTGGAATATTTACATAACTCACCGGGATCTGCGTGGCTTTTAGTTGTACACGTGTTTCGCATAGTCATCGCCGTCTTGTGAATTTGTTCCATCGTCAACACCTATAACATAATAAAGCTAAAGATATGTATGTATCCAGTAGAATTAAATAGCATATAGTATATTGCACAAGAACATTAAACACATTAAATATGTTTAATTTTCTTAGAAATTAAAATTATAAAAACTTACACACAAAAAAAAAATTAAAATTTTATACGAATTAGACAAAAATTCTCGACTTTATATTGTTGATTGAAATAATTATTAAAAAATGGACCTGTCTATTTCAAATGACTTTATTTAATATGATGAATTATTTAATAGTTTATATTCGTGTAATACTTACAGCATCCGTTTGATTGATCGTGAAGAGCGCGATCATAATTACGCAGATTAATAATTTAACGCGGGCACACATTTTACAATATTTTTCAATTTTACAGAGATATATATAAGTTTAATCTGAAGTACTTTCTTGAAACTCGTCGTAACTAGCCCTCATCGTTCTTTTATAAAGACTCCGACTGTCGACAGATCGTTTGCAGCTAATATACTGGGTTGCAATCTCGTTTAGAAACTTGATTTCATAGCATTTATTCGAAGAAAATTTATACTTTATGTCGTCGAGACAAAGGAAGAAGCTTCCGTGATTCGTATGTCGAAGGAAAACAAAAACAAAAGAAAGAAAGAGAGAAAACATACAAGCTAATGGTTAAAACGTAATTACCGGTAATGGACACAATATGTAATGATATAAGTATTGTTCGATGGTTGCACAGATGACAGCGTATTTAGTAGGTACACATGAACATCTTGTAATGTATAACGTAAAACAGACGTAAAATATTCTGATGGAAAATTCTGGAAAAGTTTAATAGGAAATGCATAATGTAAGTTCATAGTAATAATATAATAATATAATAATAATATGCGGTATTGATACTGAATAAAACTGTTCAACGATTAAATTCTGCAAATCCGGTAGTTACGATTTTATTTACGTTATACTAGATTTATATATTTGTTATTATATTAAAATTATTATAATTTCTATGTAACTATTCTCTGTTTTCTTTCGTTATTTTTAATTAGTAATCTAAATCTAAAATGATTTCCTATTCTATCCTAGTATTTAAAAAAATACTTTAGAGATTAAGAATAAGAAATATATTATATGATTGATATTTACACAATACTACATTATAATATTTTGAGTGTTGTACAATTTATGAACATCTTATATTTTTATATCGATTCTTTTCACATTTAAACGAAGAACAAGTTAAATATATGTATAATTCTGACTTATATTATGTCCAGTATATAATTATGTCAAGTATATAACGAGTGCGTGGAACAGAAAAAAAAATGTAATTATGGGCTTGCTATAGAGAGTAATTTTCAACCGCGAATTATATTTAAAACAAATTTATGTGAAAATGAAATTAATACAAATCAAAACAAAAAAGGAGCTTCTAGAAAAAAAATTAAATTTCTAAATTATCAATGAAAATAACTCTGAGCTTTAATTATATTTAAATTATATTGCTGGTGTGTATTGCAGAGAAATTGTAGATTATATAAAAGTGGTATTATGCAGAAATATTAGAGTATACAATAAAATTATATATTATAGGAGTAGATGGAAGAAAAAATTTGAGAAATGTCTGAGAACTGTGAATATTAATTGGTATGTCACGAACGATCAAAGCGCCGATGAATGAAAGTTTGACGAAGTGTGATGGCATGCCAAATTAATTGTGTGTTGGCTGGTCTTTTGTAATGCTAATTAGTTTTCAATTAAGCTCAGAAACTTGACCCGTCCGACGTCTATTAGCCCTTGTTTCATTTTAGGCTGGTTTGAATTCGACGGTTTTGTTACAAAGCCGCGTATTTGTCTTTTGCTAATCATTCATAAATAAATTAATGCTTTTATTTTGACATTTGTTGTGACATAAAATATGTAATATCTCGTAAGGTATATATGTAACCTTCGATAATTTTATCTTAATGTCTGGATTATATTTTTATAATCGAATTAAGTAATTTAATTTAATTTAATTTAATTGTATGTATATGTCGTTCAGACATATTGTATGTGTGTGTATGAGGGGAGGGATTGGACTTTATTTATTCATTACAGATTTTATTTTATTCTAAGTTCAAAGGATGCATTACGATATTACGATAATTCTATTTTTTTTCTTTTGTCGTTCCGACCGGAAGTGGCAAATCAACGATGATTTCGACATATATCTCGCTCTGTCGATTCTCCATCCGCACAATCATGTGCGCACTTCCGGGATTTCAAAACGCTACTAGGTGATAAATAAATAATAAATGCCCCATTAATTTGTAGGAATAATCTGCTACGTCACAATATACAATGCTTATTTTCGACGATCTTTATCGACTGATTACGCGATTCAACGAGGTTTTTGTGATGCACAAATGAATAACCGTAACAAAAAAAAACCTCGTGGATTTTATAATCAGCACATTGTGAATGTCATGTTATATAATCCTTAATGTAGTAAATCATCGTTATAATTAATTATTACAGAAGAAAAATGTAATTATGGGCTTGCTATAGAGAGTAATTTTCAACCGCGTACGAGAATGCTGCAAAGAATGTACGGGGTAGACGGTTTCATTATAAGGGTGCCACCTGTTACAAGGATTTAACATTAATGCAATTCTGCCGAAGATTATGCGATCAAAATGGCTACGAGAAACTTGAAATTGAGCGACGTTTATCCATTCAGAAAATGATAAAATTTTTATTTTAAAACCAAATTTGAAAGTATGTATGAACATATATTTAATATTAAGATTAAGTGTTTTTTATATTAATGTAATTAAATATATTTAAATATAAATATAAATATAAAAGTATAATATACAATGCTTATTTTCGACGATCTTTATCGACTGATTACGCGATTCAACGAGGTTTTTGTGATGCACAAATGAATAACCGTAACAAAAAAAAACCTCGTGGATTTTATAATCAGCACATTGTGAATGTCATGTTATATAATCCTTAATGTAGTAAATCATCGTTATAATTAATTATTAAAATAATCTTGGGAAAAAAGTCGTAAGATGATTCAAAATACATAAATGTGTGTTTGGAGTCAAAATTAAACGATGACAAAGTATATTAATAAAATGTATATGTATATTATCTAGTATTAATATATTGACACACGGTAATATAATAATTAAATGATCGTGTTTATAAAGTGTTTATCTCTAAGCGCATTCTGAAAGGAAACCTCGATTAGCGTATGATAATAACGAACTACGAGCGGAAATGAAACGCCGTTTAACCATGTAATGAAGAACGGCCGCGCGCTTATATAAGAAATTAATAATAATTGATTATTTTGCTATATTAATGTAACCCAGATGTATTTAATTTATACAAATCACGAAATAGTTGAATATTTCAACGTTTTCTTTATATAGAGATGATTTGTTAACATCATTATCAAAAGGATGATATACATGTATAAAGAAAGATATAAAAATATTTAAAAAAATACATAGAGAGAGAGAGACAGAGACAGAGAGAGAGAGAGAGAGCGAGAGAGAGAGAGAGAGAGAGAGAGAGAGAGGAAGGAGAACATAAGTTATTGTTCCTTTTTTTATTAATTAATACGCGCTTTAATTAATGGGGAGCGAAAACTCCTGTTTGCCTATGAAATGATTGCCAATAACTTTGTTTGGCTACATCGTATTGCTGACAATCTCGACTATTAAAATGTTATGCCATTATAAAGAAAACCATAACAAATAAAATATAAAATATGCTTATTATTTTACGGTGGAACATTTCGAGTATTTCCTTAATAAAATATATAAAACTTGAAATATCTTGCAAAGCCTTTACTTTTCGAACACTTTACCCTTACACTTTTATTACGCAGATTTAATTTAAAAGAATCGATTTGTGCAAATTTAATTGAATAGCTATGTTAAAAGAAAAGTGCAGTTACATTTTCCGATGCATTGTTGTATTCGATGCATCGTTACATTCAATGAGGTCGTAAAAAGAGTTATTATTATTGTTATGCCATTCAATTTTTCCTTGTACTATTTTTTTTATATTGTCGGCCGTTCTCGAGAAAATCATGGTTGGCGGTCGCTTCGGGACCACCTTGTACGTGTTATATTTACAATATAAGAATCCATTCATAAAAGTCGTTGGCGCATCTGAGGTCGTTGTCAGCTAATAGCAACACAGCTCAATGGCAGCGATGGTGGTGATGGTGGTGGTGGTTGGAGACGGTTGATGGTGCTGATGGCGTTAATGCTGGGACTAGTGGTACCCGAGACCCTACGTGCTCTCGTCGTCGTCTTTTCCTGTCAAAGTCCGTGCTACTAAAAATAATCATTTTTCTAATTCGAGTGTCGCGATGCTTAAAATTGTTTAAAATTACAATAGATTGTCATTAATTATGACGAATATGTGTTTTTGATCGTCCGATTTTCTTCGGTGTTTCTAAGTTGACACGAATCCTAGGATTTACAAGCGATAAAATGAAGAAAGAACGGGAGAACACACAATTACAGTGTACAGGTGTGTGGGTGCTGTGTGTTAGGTAACATGTGTAGATACAACATATATACAACATATATATATATATATATATATATATATATATATTATATTTTAATTAGTGAATTGAAGTGATTTTTGATATGTTTTTTTTCTTAATTATTAACCTTCCATCTTTTCTTCCGGTTACTGGAAAGTTTTCCATAAAAAAAATTGATTTTAATATATATTAAATATATCTTATCAATAAAAAGGAAAATATCAATTTTTTATTAAACAGAATTTAATCCAATTTATTTAATCATATATCTGTTTTGTTTTTATATATTTTATAATTTATTTAAACGGTAATATAATTCGATGATACTTTTTAATCGTGAGAGATAATCAAAAAGAAATAAAATAGAAATAAATTTTATTCCCCTTACTGAATCTTGCGTACTTAAAGGTTATTGCATCGGTTTAGAATCTCCATAATTTATTCCTCTACAACAGACACGCGAATAAACACCTCTTGCAAGTAATTATTCTCTCGTGCATGATGTCATTAATTATTATGCAAGTAGCCTATACCACAAACATCGTTTCTTTCGTAATCAAACGAGCGCGGCAACCACTCGTGCATTATTAAGTGCCATTGAGCATGATGAAAATAGCTCCGGTCATGTTTTACCTCGTCTATTAATCAAATTTATTTGTATCATAATAAGGCAGGTAAAGTTTAGTTGAAAAGTCGAAAATATTTATTACAAAAGAGTTAAAACTATAAAAAAATATAAAAGAAATATAGATAACATAAAAAAAAATCTTATAAAAAGAATAAACTTAACAAGAAAAGGACAAAAGCCAGGTGAAATTTGTTCAATGTAGAAGAAAAAAAATTAGAATAAAACTATTTTACTTGATCTTAAAAATATTTCGCATTTTTCTTCTATCATTATCTAATTCAAAATAATTAATCTGAAATTACTTGAGAAAGAATGTATATTTATTTTTCTATCAAAAAAGTCTTTATTTTCAAAAATAAAAATTAATTAATTCTTTTACAAAATTTACGATTTAACGAATAAAACAGATATAATGAAATAATTATATATATATTAAAATTATAATAAAAAATAATAATTTTTATATTATAATGTGGGATAAATTTGCACTTAAAGTTGTACTCGCAAATTTTTAAGGGAATCAAATGATATTTCTGGCGCTAGCATTCATACGCGCGTGTCATTTTCGAGTTTTGCGCGAACAGTGATTCATTTTACATTCGGATGTTCTCCTCGCAAATTCGAGAGAAGGTATTTAACTGTCTACCTTCACCTGCCTTGAACTCGAGGGTTCACATTCACAGAACAGGAACTACGGCAGGCGCCTCTTAGGAATGCACCTTCCTCACGTCCGTGGTTTATTCGTACGAATTCGTGAATTCCTTGCTCTTAAATCCGGTACCCCACCGTATTATTCACTGCCAGAAGAAGAAGAAGAAGTGCTATTTTTTCCTTTTCTTCTTTTTTCATCGTTCTCACATTCGGCACGACAGTCGGATATATAGGCGTGAGAGAAACGCAGTCGAGGAAATGAAGAACAATACCGTTCGCCTACCTTTTAGAAACTTGAATCCACCGTATAATCACACAGTAGAATTTATTATATACAGTATCTCTCTTTCTCTCTCTTTCTCTCTTTTAATCTGTGTTCTGGTATAAAACTCTAATAATAGTTCCTTTGATAAATCTTCCAAGAATTATGGATGTATATTTTTTGAATCTAAATAATAAATATTAA